CTGCGTTCCAAGGTTAGCACAGTATGTTTTGAAGAAGTTACTGGTGAACTGCGAACCATTGTCGGTGATGATGCGGTTCGGCACCCCAAACCGGCTCACGATGCCCTTGATAAACTTGACCGCGGAACCTGCGGGGATGGTGCGGACAACTTCCACCTCAGCCCACTTGGTGAATTTGTCCACGACGACATAGAGGTAGCGATAGCCTCCTGGCGCCCGAGGGAATGGGCCCAGGATATCCAGCCCCCAGACTGTGAATGGCCATGAGAGGGGTATAGTCTGCAGGCCTCCTGCCGGCTGATGGATCAGCTTGGCATGGAATTGGCAGGCCTCGCAAGCTTTCACCAGTTCCACGGCGTCACTGAGTGTCGTGGGCCAATAGAACCCGCTGCGGAACACCTTGCCAACGAGGGTCCGTGACGACGAGTGATGCCCACAGTCTCCATCGTGTATGTCTGCCAGCAACTCCTTCCCTTGCTCCCTAGAAATGCAACATAGGGACACATCATTTGGTCGTCTACGGTAGAGCTCTCCATCCTTGATGCAGTACGCCGTGGCCTGCCGCGCCACACGCTCTGCTTCCTCCTCCTTTTCAGGCAAGGTCCCCTGCGTCAGGTAACTCATGAGCTCTGTGATCCAGCATCCTTCGTGAGGCTCCAGCGCCAGGAGCAGGCGCGCTCCTGAGACCGGGCCGCAGACCGGGGCTCCCGAGGCAGGTGGCTGGGGGAGCTCCTCCCAAGGTTGTACCGTGCTTGACAGTGATGGCGCCGCCGAGGGTTTGAAGAGCCGCTCCTCGAAGACGCCAGATTCCTGAGGTAGTCGCCTGGATGCCCTTTTGGCGATGTCGTCAATCTCTTGGTTGGTGTCGCGAGGCACATGCTGCAACTCCAGTCCCCAGAACTGCTTCTCCATCCTGCGGACCTCCGCGAGGTAGGCTTCCATGTGCTCGTCCTTTGGCTCATACACTTTGTTGGAGAAGTTGATGAGGAGCTGCGAATCACCCTTGATGGTGAGGCGCTTCACCCCCAGGGCGACTGCAGCTTTCAGGCCTGCTATCAGGCCTTCGTATTCTGCTATGTTGTTGGAGATCTTTTCTCCATGCTGGAAACAGAGTTGCACGATGTAGTAAAGCTTGTCTTGAGTGGGGGATATGAGCACTGCGCCCCAGCCCCGCGCCGTGTCGGGAGAACGCCCCGTCGAAGTACATGACCCAACCGTCCGGTGCCTCGCTTCCGGGGGAGAGGGGTCGATCCTCACCAGCCTTGAGGCCTGGCGCATCCGCCCATTTCGCCACAAAGTCCGCAAGCGCGGCCCCCTTGATGACTCTGGTTGTGCTGAATTCCAGTTGAAATGCTTGCAGCTCAATGTTCCACTCAGTGACTCTCCCAGCCGAGTTGGGGCTCCTGAGCACCCTTTCCAGCGGGTATGCTGAGACGATCTTGATGGGATGGCCCTGAAAATAGTGCCACATCTTGCACGAGGCTACTAATAGCGCGAGGAGGAGCTTCTGGGGCATGGGGTACCGCGCCCTCGCGTCCCGTAGCACTGTGCTGACGAAGTACACAGGATGTTCGACAAGGTTGGGAGTGCTGGTGCCGCTAGCGTCCTCCGGAGGCGGGGGCGCCTCCTAAGGCAATGGAGCCCCCAGCGGCTGGTCGCTCGGGGGAGGGGCTTCTTCTGTTCTGAGTGTGATTCCCTGCGGTGACTGATCCTTCTCGGTTGTGGTCGTGGTCTCTGCGAGGCTCTCTTGGTTCTACTTCGCTTCGACCTGGGCGGTTGCCGCGGATTTGTTCCTACGCTCCTCCCTAACCGCCACCAAGGCTGCACTGGCAGAGTAGGGAGTGGCTGCAAGGTAGAGCACCAGGGGCTCTTGAGGGCGCGGAGCCACCATCACTGGAGGGCTAGTTAAGTACCTTTTGAGATCTTGGAACGCTTTGTCGGCCTCTTCAGTCCATTCGAAGGGGCCCTTTTTCTTCATCATCTTGAAGAAGGGCAGTGCTCGTTCCCCCAACTTGGAGGAGGGGCGGCCGCCGCCGTAGGAGAGGAGGAGGAACACGCCGCCACTGCAAGATCATCTGCCAAGGAGAAGTCCATCGCTGCCGCCATTGAAGGAGCAAAATCGCCTCAGCATCATGCCCGCGAGGTAATTTTACATGTCCCTGCTGGCCGGTTCAGTATCTGTATGTAGATCATGAGGTTTGGTATGGCCGATTGGTCGAGCATACAGGTTCAGTACATGTACAGGTCCAGATGCTCGTACCGATCAGGCTCATTACATAAGCAAACTGATTACCAATCAGGCTCATGTATAGATTCAGTACCTAAGCAAACTGATTAGATTAGGCTCATGTACAGGTTCAGCACATGTAGTCATATGTAAGTAAAGCTGATTTTCGTTACTCATATTTTAACTAACTTTACTAAACTGAAACTGGTTTATTTTAGTGATATGCAAGTAAAACTACTAATATTGTCACTAACTGAACTTTTTTCAGGTGTGAGTAACTGAAATCAGCATGATTGCTCTGCTCTGAAAACTGAGAATTCTGTTGTACCTCACAATTTTCAGTGTTGTGGGATGACAGAAATTGGTAAGCGAATACCTCAAGTTGGTATGAGGTTCAATAGGGTGGGAATATTGTGTGGACATAGTTTGAAAGTTCTCAATTTGATGAATGTGAAGATATTGCCAACACATTATGTCCTAAAGAGATGGACTAGAGAAGCACGCAATGGAAGTATACAAGATAGACAAGGAAGGAAAGTGGTAGAAAATCCAAAATTGGAAGCTCAACTTTGGTACAAAGATATGTCTCATAAATTTCATGATATGGCATATAAAATAGCCAACTCTCCCGAATGTCATTTGTTGCTAGAAAATGCACTTGATTATCTTTGGCCACAACTAGAGGATAAACTCAATGCATCAGCTACTAGTGCTATGAATGGATGTTCCAATGACCAAGAAAATGTTGATCCAAATGTGCAGCAAGCCAATGACTTGCTTAGTTCTGCAAAATTGAAGAAAAAGGATGTTTCATCTAAAAATTTAAGGAGAAAGCAAACTTGGTTTGATAAGTTACGCAAGGGGCGAAAGCAACCTAAATCAGCAGCAACAACAAAAAAAGAAGCAAAGGTAAGCTGCAGTATGTATGTACTATCTGTTGTTATTCATTCCTAAACTAACAAAATGAATTTTCATTTACATTGGCAGCAGCAACAACAACAAAAAAAAGATAGTGTGCAGCCTCAAGTGCAAGTGGAGAATGATGGCACAAACAGAGGGAGTCTCATAGGAGAAAGTGAGAAGTGTCAAGAATACGATGCAATCGACAGCTTTACCGAGCTCTTGACAACTTCACGAGTCGACGATGATATCTTTATGATGATCTGATCTAGTATCTTCAAAGTTGTTAGGTAGTATTTTGGACAGGTTAACTACAGTATTTTGGGGAGTTAATCATAGTCTTTTTTGGCCGAAATGTACAAGTGAAATGGCCTGCCTTTGTGTACATGAATGATTACTCAATATTGACATTTCTTGTTGTAGCATTCAGATGTTATGTGCTACAGCCTTTTAATGTCAAATGCTACTGGATTCGGTGTCAAATGCAATTGAATTGTTCAACTTTGATTGCATAATATGGTACTGTATAATCTGTTCAAGTTTTTGGGTTACAATCTGTTCAAAACAAACTGAATCGAAGCACACTGTATCGTTGTTTGCTGCTAGACTGTACTATTGTTTGCTGCTAGGCTGCAAATCTGCTAAGTCCTGGAGTTTTTGCATGTGTCTCATGTAGACCGTTGGATGTGTTTTGGATGGAGATTAGATGGCTAAAGTTGCAGCGTGACTTCACCAAGTAAAGTCACTGGATCTCAGTCCGTCTGGGAGGGTCGAGGCTGCACGGCTGAAGCAAGAGGTGGCAAGGCGTCGTCGGCGTGCTCGCCATGCACCTGTCTGTCCTCCTGGCAGGAGGAAGAAGACCACTCAGCCCCTGGTGGGCTGGGCCTCTTCTGCCAGGTAAGGCCCAGCTAGTTCTTTTCTCTCTCTCTCATTTTTCCATTTCCTTTCTTTTTTTTAATCTTTTGCCACTATTTTTAAATTCAAACAAAAAGAAAACAGTGCCAAAACTCCCCTGGATATTTTTATATCACTTAATGGACTTCTCCACATATACATAAAATATCTCAGGGCATTTGAAATTATATTCATTATATATTATGAATATAATCCCAAATTCAAATAGAATATTGGTTTAAAATCAGAGCTCAAATAATTCCTTAAAAATGTTCCAAAATTTTGGTTCGATATATAACTCTTGCCAAAATCCTCAAACTATTTTTAGGGAATTTTGGATTCACTTATTGCAATTTTAGGGTTCTTGCCCCTTTATTAAAATGATTTCTGAGGCTTTGAAAATTCCTCAATTCAATTTCTTGAATTTAACATGATGACATTATGCTCTCAAGTGCAACTAGTTTCAAGCAGTATTCTAGGGCTGTGGCATGGTACTTCAAATACACCAATACGCAACATATCACTCACCAGCGGGCCTCTATACTCCAAGTAGCACATTTGGCTGCTACTAATCGCGAGCTGTGCGAGCCGTCGATGCGCTGCGTGCATGTGCCACTGCGTGCAGCGATGCACTTCTCGTAGTTGGCGTCACGATGGGATCTTGAACATGGATCTTCCTTTTTATTTTCCTTCCGACGGTTGACTCTCATTTTCTAACAGACAATCATCCAAGGATTCCAAGCTGCTGTTCAATTCCTACAACTACAAGAACACACACCATAGATGCATCCAGCAACCCAGCTTTATCACCACATCTCTGCTTCTCGGCTTGTTCATGGCGGCTCCTCATCGTGCAAGCCCAGCCCAGCTGCTACCATTCCTCGCGCCACTCGTCGCCTTACTCTTCCTCGCGGCGGCAACCACCACGGCAACAGCGGCGGCAGATGGTGGTGGGTACGCCGGCAACGGCAACGGCGCCATGACGCACCTCCACTTCTACTTCCACGAGATATACACCGCGGGGCCGAACGGCACGGCGGCGGCGGTGGCGTCCCCGCCGGCGGGCGCCAGCGGCTCGGCCTTCGGGTTCGGCTACGTCGGCGTGGTCGACGACATGCTCCGCGAGGGCGCCGACCCGGCATCCCGCCTGATCGGCCGCGCGCAGGGGCTCACCGCGGGCGCCTCGCTCTCGGAGGGGGCGATCACGACGCTGCTCAACTTCGTGTTCACGGGCGGGCCGTACAACGGCAGCACGCTGGCGATGTTCGGCCGCGCGGTGCTGGGCTCGGTGATGGAGCGGCCGATCGTCGGGGGCACCGGCGCGTTCCGGATGGCGCGCGGGTACACGCAGAGCCGGATGGTCAAGTCCGCGGACCCCGAGAACCTGCTCGTCCTCGAGTACGACGCCTACGTCCTCCACTAGCAACCTTAATTGGCTTCGTGGTCTTTGATTCGTACTGCGTGTTATTCTGGTTTTTAAATTCAAAACTCTACATGTTTTTCCAATGCTTTCTGTATTCTGTATTTGTTTGTAGGCTTTGAGCCGAATCCCGAACATTTGTGTGCTTGCACTTGAAACCTGAACATTTTCTTGTTTGATATTACACCTGAGTCACACTCCCTGTACCCTAAAAAGTTGGGTTCCTCTTGGGGCATGTATTCACTACAGTACAAGTGTGCCAACCTGTCTACATACAACAAAAGAACAACAGATCAGAAGGTGAGCTCGTCGGCGAACGCCTTGGCCAGCTTCTGGGAAGGGCTGAGGCTCCCGCCGCGGCTGATCCGGAGCGACTCGATCGACTTCTGGATCTCCATGGTCATGGCGCTGTCCACGCTGCCCTGCGACAGCCGCCTGTGCGCCTTCTGCAGGTGCAGCTTCAGCGAGCTGGTGCTCAGCCCCACGTTCTTGCCGCATATCGGGCACACCTTCATCTCAGGCCGCTTCTGCTGCCAGTCCATCGACGCCTTGCCGTGCAGCTTCCTGTCCAGAGCAAGCAGGGCCTTGGCGAAGCCGTCATTCGGCTGTGCGCGTCGGTGTACTTTCTTCAGTAAGTTCCAGGCTTTCGCAAGCGTGAAGCCCCTGAGAAAAGTGTCATCTTAGTTTTTCTCTTGGAAGTGGGAAAGTATAAGGCATCAAATGCAGATGTGGCAAAGCTAAAATTCTTACTTTCTGAGCATCAAGTAGGCAAGGACGACCGTGGCGCTCCGGCTTTTCCCTTCAAAGCAGTGGATGAGGACCTTACCCCCAACACGGTCGACCTGGTCAATAAAATCTGATGCTTCTTCAAAAAGATCGCTGATGTTTGCATCATCATCATCACTAATCTGCACGAGATAGGACGATTGGTTTTCCATCAATATGAAAAATCAATATAACAGATTACTAAACCAGAGGTTGACGCTCTTACTGAAAAGTTCTTGTACTGAAAAAGATCAGGAAATTGGGTATCGGATTGACCAATCTCATTCGAACACAAACATAGTATATGGGTAATGCCCAAATGCTGGAGGGTGTACTTAGACCTTGCAGCGAGAGCCCCACCTATAAATAAGTTGTTGACCACGAGAGAAGGTCGCTCAGTATTTGCAGCATCAGAGACCAACGATGTCCTTTCAATGATGTGTTCAAGGCGCACCTGCAAGTTATTCATCATCAGACTCACTAGCTGCTTGAGAAAAAGAGCTTCCTCTATGTTCTAAATCAGATCTTTTGGAACCCACCTTTAACTCGTAGGCATCTGCCGCCATGTTGTTCTCGGTTCCATCAAAGAATCCAGAATGAAAATTGTTCTCCTGACAAAATCTAATCACGTCGGTCTTAAACACTTCATTCCATTGTTCTATCTCCTTGAGCAATTCAGGACCGACATCAACCTATTGGATCAAAACCGAAATTCCTAACTTAAGTCCAGCATTCTTTTCATTGTCAAACACAAGTCAACCTCATAAACATGAACCAGACGGTGCTGGTCAGCTAAGTAACTTTAATTTTCAGTTGAAGGGCAACCTTTCGGCAAAATGTGAGGTTGAATATCAATGCTACTTGTATGAATTTAGAGAAGACAGCCCCAAAGTATAATATGCTCTACACTGAAAAAATCAACTTGACTACACAAC